CAAACAAACAAACAAACAAACAAACAAACAAACAAACAAACAAACAACAACAACAAACAACAACAATAAACAACAACAACAACAAACAAACAAACAAACAATCAAACAAACAAACAAACAATCAAACAAACAAACAAACAAACAATCAAACAAACAAACAAACAACAACAAAAACAACAAACAACAACAACAAACAAACAAACCAACCAACCAACAAACAACCAAACAAACAAATCAACAACAACAACAACAACAACAACAACAAGCAACAAACAAACAAACAAACAAACAACAAACAAAAAAACAAAACAACCAAAACAAAACAAACAAAACACACAAAACAAACAAACAAAGAAACAAAGAAACAAACAAACAAACAAACAATCACACAAACAAACAAACAAAGAAACAAAGAAACAAACAAACAAACAAACAAACAAACAAACACACAAACAAACAAACAATCAAACAAACAAACAAACAAACAAACACACACACACAAACAAACAAACAAACAAACAAACAAAGTGACTAACTAACTAACAAACAAACAAAAAAACAATCAAACAAACAAACAAACAACAACAAACAAACACGGCATACGCCTTGCGTGTGTCGTTGTTTGTCCCTTCTGCATTGGCTTTTCATGACCATGCTGAACACCCGGATCTCGGCCCCCCAGTCTATAGCGTTCTTCCGAGGCACGTCAGCGCAGGCGCGCGCTGCTTGGGCGCACGCTGCTTGGGCGGGCGCTTTCTCCGGTGGAGAGCGCGATAATATCCGTGTGTTTTGGGGCTCAACAGCTGCGAGGCTCACAGCTTCGATGCATCGAATGATCAAAATCTTCTGTCGACTAGATGCGGGTTCACAAGAACTGCTTAGTGTATATAGCTTCCATTTATCGTCTTAAAGAGTCTTGGCGCAAGCATGCAAAGATTGAAGGCCTTGCTCTCGAACAACAACAACATCTTGTTTTAATCAAAAGTGAATCGAAGGGAATCCCCCAGTCGAAATGGATTAGAGATCATGTCGACGCCAACTTGGGCACAACAAACGTGAACACGAAAAAATAAGAACATGAAGAAACCATCATCAACTTTTGCACCATTTTTGCATGTTGGCGCTTGAACTGCCTACCTCCACACGCTTTGCAAGCCCGAGCCCGACCGCACGTGCTGTGCCTCTGGCGCATCGCTGTGCACCGCACGGTGGCGCGGTCGGGCGCTTCGGGCGCTTCGGGCGCTTCGCGAGAGAGGACTGGACCAGGGCAGCTGGTGTGGTGCTGCTGGGCGCCATGGCAAGCCGCAAGGCTGGGTGTTCTTGGCTCCTGAGTGGTGCTTGGGGAGAAGGGGGAGAAGGGAGTCTGGGGGTCCGGGATGCTCCTTGGAGTTAAATTCCTTGAGATTGGGGGCTGGGGGGTTTTGGTGGGGTTTTGTGATCAGGGTGAGGTTTTTGGTTATCAACATGTTTTTTTTTGCCGAGGTATTCCAGAAAGGTTTTGGCATGTCATGAGCTTGGTCCAGCAAGTTTTGATGAAGAGATTTGCACGGGATTCTCGACTCAGCTCCAACCACTCTTGCATGCCGGCACAAAAAAACTACTCCGAACTACCGGTGGGCCACAGCCTGTTCCGCAAAACCGCCCAAAAACAGGATATACCTTGAATCACACCTGCAGCGGCCTTTCGCTCGCTCGAAAACGGTGGACTGGTCAGGCTCCGTCATGCTGGGGCCGTTCAACCCATCTTGACTTCGCAGGTCGCCGTCATCGGTGGAGGCCCCGCCGGCCTGGCGGCCTGCCGCTCCTTGGTGCGCTTTGGGCATCGGCCCGTGGTCTTCGAAGCGGCTGAGGAGGTGGGTGGCATTTGGGCGGAGAAGCCCATGAACGAGGTGGTCTACAAGGGATTGGTGACCAACATCCCGACCATGTGCCACTTTGGATTCAGTTTTGGGGCATGTTTTTTGTTGAAAAGGCTTTGATCACCCTGGCACTTTTACCTTGGGTTCTATGTATCAAGAATGACTTTTAATATCTTCATGTATTGTCATGTATTGTCCACTAATTAGAGTTTTTCTTCTGGAAGAGAGAGAAGGACCCAACTAGTCGGTCACATTGAGTCTCTTCCGACTTCGGGCTATGAGCTCTAAGCATCCCAGACAGCAAAGAAAACCAATAGCAACCTGATCTAGTCATTGGACTCACTCCAGAATGGTCCAAAAGCCCAGCCGCACGCGTCTCGCCAGCTGCCCAGGTATGCAATCTTTTGATCTGGGTTTTTCAGCGAAAAGCTCTTATGTGACAGGCCCTGAGCTGCGAGGTTCGAATCATTGAGCAATCTTTGATCATTATATGTGTCTTTTTTTCATCTACTGATCGGTAAACATGCTTAAGCTTGGAATCCATCTCCATTATTATTGTTTTTTTTCTTTTTTCGCGGGGGTCTCCATAATTAATCAATCTTGGCCAAAGGAAAGGGGGTTAGGATGAGACATGAACAGGGATCGTGTCCTAGCGCATGGGCACTTGATTCAAGGGTACAAATCCATTTTCTGTTGAAACATGTTTTCACTCGGCTGGGAGGTTCCCTTATTTTGGGAAGTAATACCCTTCCTTTGTGGGAGTCGGAATGAGGTTAGGGTCCTATTTCATCGACTATGCCGAGCACTTCAAGCTTCGCCAGTTCATTCGATTTCAGTCGCGCGTGGAGAAGGTGGAACGGCAGGAGAAGGACGACGAGTCATGGCAGGTGCCAAGGTGTCAAAAGCGAAGATTTAGACAAAACTGAGATTTTGTGATATGAGTTCCTTGGAGCACTGGGGATTCATTAGGGACATTTCGGAAAACACGTGTATTAGATCGATAGTAAAAGCCTACAAAACCTGGCAGGCTTCCCTCCGGGTACGAAAGGGTCAAATCTCAGGGTCTACTTGTTCTTGACTTCGTGTGGAGCAAAAAGGGTCAAAACAATCAATGAACACAAAAGAAGACAACAAGCAATCATCCCCCTTTGCCTGCTGGTGCACCTTGACATATTAAGTCTTTTGGGCGCGCCCGGAATCGCTCGCAGACCGAGCTGGGGCACCGCAGTTGCAGGTGTCCTGGACCTCCACAGATGGCTCCCAAGCGGAGGACTTCGATGCCGTTTGTGCCGCTTCGATCAGTTTGGAACGTCACCGGCTTTTTGAAGGAAAGAGATGCAATCCGTGGTAGCTATCCGAAGGGCTCCGCCTAACACAAGCTCCATTTTGATCAATTTATTGAACAGTTGAAAACAGTGATTCAGCTAGAATCTTCAGATGCCTTTTTTTCCTTGGATCTTACATGCGACTTTACTTCCCTCGAACGATATGGATCCTATACGATGGTCGGCTTCCACAGCGGACTCTGAGGTCGCCAGCGGCCACTATGAGTTTCCCTATTGCCCCGAGCTCCCCGGGCAGAAGGAGTGGCTGGCGGCCTCCAGCGAGCGGAAAATCCTGCATGCGCTGTCGTACAATGATCCAGAGGACGAGCCGATCCGCACCGCACCGTGACCCTTCCGTGACCATTTGTGTTCTTTTTGTTTTAATTATTTGTGTTTTAAACATATACGGTTTTTGAGGCATCAGGCCTGAAAGAAGCAAGCGTTCTAACATCGGGCCGTATAGAATGGCATATCATTTGCATTATTGCTATGTTTCTTTCTTTGTGTGGCACGATTAGTATGTGACGTTTATTGGTTGGCAATCATCCAATGAGCTCGTTACTGCGCAAATCTGCGCTGCGCAGTGTAAAAAACGTAAATGTTTGTGGTAGATTCGCCGTAGATCTCACACTCATTCCTTTCTGCACCCGACGGTCGTTGCAACCAGATCGGTCGTTGCAACGGCAGGATTTCAACGGCCGATCGGTGCTGATCGTTGGAGGTCGCTCCTCTGCGGTGGACATTGCAAGAGAGCTCCGAAGCCGCGCGGGTTCGCTCTATGTCTTAGCCACCTGGGAGTACTTTTAGCATCTTTTAGCGAGCTAGTGCTTATTTTTATTGGCTGTCCCACGTGAATGAGTTTGATTCCAGTTTGGAAAATCATCTAAGAGATATCAGGAGGAGTATTGAGGTCGTATTATTGCTGAGTGTTGCCAAGCAGGTAATGTTGAGTCCCCTCTACGACTCTACAGAATCTTTGTGATTCACTTTCATTCTGCACATCCTCCCATCTCCTCTCATTTCCTTCGCCCTTCGCTTGCCTTTCGCTTGCCTTTCCAAGGAAAGCGGATGCCGAGAGGTGACCTGTGAGGATCACTGTTCTTGGCTTCCCTTAGGTTCCAGCCTCACACCAGAGGGTCGGATCTTAGCGGCCACCGGCGAGCTGGTGTCGGGCGAGCCGGTGGACACGGTGATTTTGGCCACGGGCTATACGTATCGATTTCCGTTTCTGGATGAGACCGCCTTAAACATGGAGTTTGGCCCCGTGAGGAGAGTGATGTTTGGAGGTACACTTCGAACTAGTATTTAATATAAAGATATAGAGTCTGACTGTTTGGCAGTATATTATATAATGTATATATATATATATATTCAAGAAATTGATAAGTTGATTGCAACATGTTTTTTTAAACTGTCTAAACAATGACCACGATAAGCGTCCAAACCATCAGGGTTCCCACATCACTTCAAATTTACCCACTAGTCCGCCCATAAGTAAACTGCACTTGAACAGTCCTTCTCTCTACCTTCCAGGGGCCAATTCTTACAGCTGGTTGGGGCCCAGCTTTCTTCTATTCTCGCTCTTCTTCTTCTAGGGGCCAATTCTTACGGCTGGTTGGGGCACCCAGCTTTCTCGTTTTCATTGCTTCTTCCAATGGCAACTTCCATGCTAATATCACACCAGCCTATTACAGCAGCTTACAAATCTCTTCGGTGGCCCTCTCGTACCGTCAGACCCGTGGAGCTGTGAATCTTGCCACAATTCGTGACAAGGTCAAGGTGATGTGGAAGGTTAAGGATCGAGGAACTCTTCTCAACCCCGCTGACAAGTCCTATCAGGATAAACGAAAGAGTCCCTCAATGCTCAGAGTGAGCTGGGATTTCTGGGATGAGGCTGAGTTTCAACACAGCTGGCGACTTGGAGTGTCATCAGCGCCCCTACATCCGAAATTGCTTGAAGGAACGCGGGCTCGGGGATCTTTGAGGAAGTTTCTTTCTGCCAGCGGTCCAAGAAGGAAAGCAGCCAGAACTTGAAAGCCGTGAGTGTGAAGAGTGCGGGTACAGGGTGCTGCTTCACAAAGGGCAACAAGAAGTTGGAGCTCTGCTGTGGGCTTCGCAAAGAAGCCGTCCTGACATTTCGGCATGCGTGGGAGATTTGAGGTCTTTGCCTGCTCTACGGAAAGTTGTGCAGTTGTGCCACCAAGTATGTCGGTACCTTTCTGGTCCTGTTGAGCCGAGCACAAGCTTGTTTTTTCGAGGCCAATTTAATCTCAGTGTCAGTGCAGATGCAAGCTTCTCACCAGGCGCTGACAAAAGCCGGTCAGGTGTTGTAGCAATGCTCAGTGGGCGATTGGTCCAGTGGTCTAGTCTGAGGCAACCTCCAGAGGTGCAAGCAGCAGGTCTCGGGTGTGCCCAGGGCTGGTTTCTTTTCAGGTGGCATTGAATTCGATCTTCACTGCCACAGAGTTTGTTATGAACCGCCCAACCCCATCCGGACCCAGCACCTTGGTATATTCTTTTGTCATTTTGGATCACGGAGTGGTCATTAGGCAACTTGGCTGATGCTTTTCTAAACCTCAGACAGTTCAGGCCGTTCTGGTGCAGCAGCAAGTTGTGACTTGATTGCATTATGTTGCATTCAAACGTGCAGCGGTCAGAGTTGAATTGGTCCGGTTTGCATTCAATGGCATTCAAACCATTTCAAGCCTGAGGCTTTCCAGGAAAAATTGCAGACAGCCTGGCACGACACTGAAGGAGCAGGTGGTGACAGCATCTTCGCTTTAACCACTTGAGAAGTTGATGTGAATCGTTTGTCATTTGATCAGTTGGAATCTTTTGTAATTTAAATATTGTTGTCATTTGAGTTTCAAGTTTCATCTCAGTCCGTCGTGCACTTTCACACCGTGGATCCACTACTTGGAGTGGAAGAGATTTGTGAGATTTGCTTGTCGATGGCAACCGTACATGTGCTTTGGTTGCCGCATCTCTGACACTGACATGAGGGATTTTCACAAAGTGTTGATTGGTTGCCTCGGACGCTTGAGTTCTTCACTTTCATGCTTCCCTGGAACATTTTTTCAGCAATCAACTTATCAACTTCTGTAGATTGTAGACGCTAACCAGCTGTTTGTGTGTTTGTGTATGTATGTCTGTACGTATGTATGAATGTATGTTTGCTTGTTTTTTGCTTGTCAGTTTGTTTTTTGTGTGTTATGTGTTGGTTGCTTTCAATCCTCATTATTTTCATGAAGGAGATATGTCAAGCCCTTGTACCAGCACATCATCCACGCGGACTACGACACCCTTTGCTTCTTGGGAATTCCCCTGGCGGTGCCTTCGCCGTTGCCCTTGTTCGAGGCGCAGGCCTACTTCGCGGCCTCGCATTTGCGCGAAGCCTTCACGAGCCGAAAGCAGCGGCAGGAGTGGGTGCAGCAGGCGTGTGCCAATGCTGCCCGGAGCCAGGACTGGGCATGCGAAAAGGATCATGGGCAAACGTTTTTTGGTGGTGCTTTGTTTCGACATGTCTCTGGTTGTTTTGCTGCCACCCTATCCGATAGATGGTTTGTTTTCATGTTTTTGTCTAGACTTGTTGGTGGCAATTTTTGCTGGCACAACATGCCGTTTTGTCAGAACACCAATGGTCCACACCTTTGCAAAACTGTTTAATGACAACCAACTCCATCTGGCCACTCCACAGGATCTTCACTTTATCTCGGGCTACGCCTGGGACCATATGCGGCTTCTCATGAGAGAAGCTGGCATGGCTGACTCAGACTATTCCCAATATGACCGACGATTGAAAGTGGTTCAGGCCAGGCTTTAGTTTGTCATCCTCCAACCTACTAATGCAGTTGATCACAAAATAAGACTATTTGAAGAACATGGTCCCATCAAATTTTCATATACATTATAATGTTTTATCACCTGCTGAACCATCATCGAACCCATATTTGGGTTTTGATTCCATCGATATTAAATACTATATGTTGTACTATCCTTAGTGCCACCTCAGCGCTTTGGCCTGGTCGCAGTCCCCCCCCGCAAAAAAAAGAACACCGTGTCCAAAGAACCCGAGTTGATCGACCTGGATCCGTTTGGAGGCCATCTACCAGGATCGAGTGGATCGAAAGCCTCGGATGCCCTGGGACGATGATGCCTATCGCCGCTGTCAGTACCAGGCGCGTAGACGTGGAACCCGATGTCAGAATGCGTATAGTGGGTGGAGCGCGCGATGTCGCGCATGGGAAAAAAAGGAAACAAAACGTCCAGCCAAGTTGGTGGAATGTGGCAATGTGATGAAATGTGATTCTATGAAAGTCATCGAATGTGTGGTTCATCGAATGTGCAGAACTATTCCATAGGCTATCATAGGTTTATTCGTTGGGATGGAAGGCCACTGGCCAGTTCCACTCCCATGTGGCTGCCAGCTTCAAGAACATGTGAACCGCAATTATTTTGCCAACAGCAGTTTAAGTTAATTTGTTTGTGGAATCCTTCCAAATGACGAAGCCGTGACACCACGACACAGTACTATATATAGTGAATTTAGTAGATTGCCGGCACAACTCATCGCTTTTTGAAAAACCGTCACTTCCGCAAACCCCGAAGAAGTTCAAGGATTTGGAATGTTCAGGTTATATACCGTAGAAATCTCCTTTGAAACACATGATGCACATCAATCCTGCCGCTGTCGAGGTTGATTATGAGTCGGGCAGATGGTCTGTGACACTCCCAGATGGAACTGTCGAAGACCGAGAAGCCAAACTCTGACCCATATGTGGTTGGTGTTCTCACAGTAGAGCGTGTCGTGCGCCCGCAGATGTGTCGGGAAAAGAACTTCTCTATCGCAATGTGCTTGGCATGGCTTGTGGGATCCATACCCATCGATTTGCGTGGCCTCAAGAAAGCGGAGATATGAGATATATCCAATTGACGATATGTGTTGTTCATGTCACAACTGAAGTTTTCAATTTGCTTAGTAGGCATGGTACACTCATGCCATTGAGAGATCCCTTGCGAAAGATGTTGATTTCATGCCGATTCAGTGACGGGTGCTGCCTGTTGCTGCGCTGCAGGAGCCGCTCCTTGCTAAGCCTCTCCTGCGATCTCTTCGTCGCCGCCGCTTGGCTGGGACGTGGTGGAATGACGGGGTGGTATTTCAGATATATGCTGAATCATATTGTGTGTGGTTGGTGGTCGTGTTGATGCTTGATTCCAAGGACTCATATATTTGTTTTGGTGAGGAAGCGACCACGAAGCAATGAAGAGATTGGGCAGGATGAAGAGGTGTCAGTTCAGTAGAGGGTGTCACATGAGATTTGGTTTGAGGCACCTGGTCAGGGGTCACATATCTGTTTTGAGGATATTGTTGGATATGAGATATGAGGCACCTCCCAGATGGTCACAGGATGATGACCCAGAAGATCGATCACATGACAAACGCCATGCAATGCTGGTGCATTCATTGGATAAATGGGCCGATTTCCAAGTATACTGCATTCTCTTTCCCAGACTTCCCAAAGCGCCCTGCAACATGGCACATGGCCAGAAAATCAAGAACTTGGGATCTTCAAAGCTTCTTTTGACCCACCACGATCCTCACAAGATCTCCCCGGCTTGCAGGAAGCTTAACCACTTCTCGATCTCTCTCAGAGGCATGTGTCAACACGCACGCGCTTGCGCGTGGGGAAGAACGAGTTGCCTACGAGTCAGACATGGCTTTGGGACCGAGCCAAGGGTCTGGACGAACTGGGCGCTTTTGGGCCAGGCGAGATGGATCCAATATGATCCTGTGAATAGCATGTCGCTTTGGATGAAATCACGATTCCGAAATGTTTAACTCTCGAGGTGGCCCAACGCGGCCTATGTGCAGGGGACAATGCACATGTGAAAAGGTCTTGCTGCCCACAGTGGTAGCGGAGCCAGGTTCGGCCCTTGGACCTGGCTCGGTTGGTCGGTTTTGTTTGGGGTGTTTTGGGGTTGTCCCTGGTTGGTGGTTCGCTTTGAGCCATGCCCCCGGTTGCGGCTGCGACAGCAGCCGATGGTTCGTCGAGGCCGGAAGGCCAGGAGTTTGATGAAGGGCTGCCACGCCCTGGTGACTTGGATGAAGAGGAACTGGCCGAAGAGGCCTTTGACAGTGATGAGTTCCGGGCATTTCTTCGAGCCCGGTATCCACACCGCCAACACCGGCGGCGCCATGGCAGCTCGACCAGGAGTGCCGATAGTGACTTGGGCGACGGTGGTAGCAGCTTTGGAAGCAATGGGCCACCGCCAGAGTGGGATGGCGAATCCTTGGCCTTTCAGGACTATGCCATCAAGGCCAGGTTGTGGCTTGCTACCACCAAGGCCCGTCCCCGTGCACGAGGGCCGCTACTCCTTCAGAAGTTGACGAAGACCCCCTTCGAGACCATGAAATATCTCGCCCGGGATCGGGCGTGGATGACCAGCGATGGCAATGGCGATGAGTTGATCGCCCTCATGGAGAGGACCGCGAGGAGGACCTGTTGGCCGCCTTGGCGAAGATCACCTTCCATCTTCGCCGAGGCAAGGATGAGCACTTTCGAGCCTTCTTCAGCCGCTGGGACGTGGCAATGAGGAAGGTGACTGAGCATTCCGTCGTTCTTCCCGAACGGTACGTTGGTTTCTTGCTCATTAACGCCTTGGTGCTCTCCGATGCCGACATCAAGTCGCTCCTCAACTACTCTCGAGGGTCCATCAAACCCGGAGACATCCGGGAATGGATCCGCAAGCACGAGACAAAGCTCCAGGCCTCGCAGGTCGGGATTGAAAAGGAAAAGAAAGGAACTATGACCACGAGCTCTCGAATGACATCCTCCGCTGCTGCCCACTACATCAATGCCGAGCCCAATGACCCGGAGGATGACGAGATCTATGCCGTGGAGGAGGCGCTTCAAGACCTCCAAGGTGAAGACGAAGAAGGACACGATGGAGAAGATGGTGATGGAAGTGTTCTCGAAGAACACGAGGCCGCGGAGGTGCTGAGCACCATTTTGCAGCAGAAGAAGAAGACCTACATGCAGACCCTCAAGGCCAAGAAGGCGAAGGAGCTGTCGAGAGGATATTCCAACACCTTCAAGGGCAAGACCAAGAGCTTCACGATGGTGGGGCACAATGCTCCTTTCAAGGAAGGGAACTACCGCATGACCGTGGAGGAGTTGAAGAAGGTCACCAAGTGCGCCATCTGTCGGAAACCCGGTCACTGGCACAAGGAATGCCCTGACAAGGACCGAGATCGTGGAGCCCCGAAGGAAGCCCATGTGTTGGAAGAGGCCATCTTCTGCGGCCACCTTGAGGAGCACCCGGGTGAGGGTGCTTTTCTCCCTGGAGGTGAACGCCTGAGCGATGGAATCTCCGCAGATGTCCCGGGTCATGGCGGCCCGGGATCTAGTGATCGACACCTGATGGCACCTCACGTCGAGAGTGCATATATGGCCGAACTCCGGGGTGACCCTTGGGAAGGTGGCTCCAGTAGTGATCACGATATTTTTGGGGTTATGTATGGGGAAAGTCCGAAACTTGTTTCCGAACCCGTCCGATCGAACCCGTATCCCGATGAATGTTGCGCAACCATCGACACCGGTTGCCAACGAATGGTAGTGGGCCGGCAGACCCTTGAACGACTCGCCCAACGTCTCCCTCCTGGACTCCCAGTCAGGACCAAAGATCAGACCCACCGTTTCAAGAGCGTCCATGGGATCTCGAGCACCCAAGTCGTCGCGGCAGTTCCGACAAGCATTGGACAGAAGGGCTCATACTTCATGCCGGCCGTCTTCGACAACCCCGAGAGCGTGGCCGCCCCCTTCTTGATCAGCCTGCCCTTCCTCATCTCGTGTAGGGCGGTGATCTACCTCGATAATGAGACAGGACTCCGGGTGCGGTTCAGGAAGCAAGGGTTTACGGTTAAATGTCACCTAGGACCCACCGGTGCCCTTCGGATTCCGTTGTGTGAGTTCACCCCCGGTCAATTGGAATCTCTCAGTAAAGAGGTCAGCGGCAACAACCAAGAATTTGAGGTACTCAAGACGGAACAATCACATGATCCCGCCGCAGACAGTTTTTCACAGACCAAAACCGGAGCCCCTGACAACGAGCGTGAACCTCCGAAGCAATCCCCCTCTCATGGAAGCCATGCCGGAGCTGAAGCGACCTCGAGGACCACGAGAGGAGGCCCACTTTCCCTCTCTCTGGGGATGGAACCGCCTGCTTCGGAAGTTGCTCTATGTCACGCAAGGGCTCAACGTGTTGCTCGAGAACCTAATGAAGCGGCCGACGGAGGCCCGCGACCTACATCCTCCTCGCCATCGATTACCCGATCCGGAAGAAGAACGAGCACCTGCGCCCCGAACTCCGACCAGGACCACCAGCGAAGCCTCATGGGAGAGAATGAGCTTGAATTCAGAGCTCCTTCAAGCCAGTCCCGGGTCCTCCCAGGGAGATGTGACTCAGCTGCTCGAAGAGATGAAGGAGATCGTTGGACCGCCGCCCAAATGCGGTCATGGACGCCTATGCCGACTATTCCTGAGTCACACGGCGAAGAACAACCGCCGTCTCTTCTGGAGGTGCCCGATGGATCGACAAGTACAGTGCTCCACCTTCCAGTGGTGCAATCGACAACCACTCCGTCCGGATCTCGATCACCTGGAGGAGCCTTCACCACAACCTATGAGGAGGGGAGCCCCATCGTCGTCCACCACACCGCAGGTACCACCACTACCCCGACGCTGCCCGCATCGGAACATCAGCCGAGCGGGAACCAATGCCTTCAAGATCATGGAGAAGTGTCTGGACTGCAACCGGACCCTAGTGGACGAGCCAACCCCTCTGGGAATGGAGAAGGCACAGAAGCGCCAGGAACAGAAGGACCAAAAGTCCCTCTACATCACTCGACTGACTCGCCAACATCCGGGAGCTCAGTACCAAGAGGGATACCCTCCGCCTCGCTACCCGATCTACCAGGAGGACATGAACAATCTCACTCCGGCAATGGCCCGCCGCCTGCAGCAGTCGGGAGTTCTTCAGTCGGGGGGAATTTGGGAGGACGGTCCCTACCAGGGATGATCAAGGCCGAGGAGAGTCAGCTGAGCGGTAGGAAGTTGAAGCGCTTGCTGCGACAGGGACAGGGTGCCCTAGCAGAAGCCCACCAAATGTGGCAGAACCTTATGACCTGCCTACAGGAGCCAGAGGGACCTAATCCCTTTGACCAGCTGCTCTGTACAGTAGCCAATTCAAAAACTCCGAATTGTAAATTCGTGCACCGTTTGGCCAAACTCCTGGGACCTTCCACAGGAAAGAAACAAGCTAAGTTGGTCGCAGAGGTTTACAACCCGAATCGTTTTTCGAGCCGTTCGAAACGACATGGTTTACGAGCCGGCGAAGCGTTCGACCTCGAACTCGGACATGACTTGACTAAGGAAACCTATCGTAGGACCGTCCGCGAGTATTTGAACAAACATAAACCAGGGCTGGTGTGCATCTCCCCTCCTTGCACCATGCTGTCCATGTTGCAGAATTTGAGTTTTAAATTCCGAGAGTCCGACCCTCACAAACAACGGGAATACCATAGGAGACTCATGGAGGCCAAATTGTTGTTAGGATTTGCGGTGGAACTGTGCCACATGGTTCATGAATATGGGGGTACATTTCTATTTGAGCATCCATGGACATCCAAGGCCTGGCAGGATCACCGCCTGAGGACCCTCCTTGAAGATCCGGCTATCTTCCTCACCAAGAATGACCAATGCCAGTTTGAGCTCAAATCCATCGAGGGTGACTTCCATAAGAAGCCCACTGGATGGTTGTGCAACAACAAGGTCTTGGCCAGTGCACTTCACAAAGAATGCCCAGGCGACCACCCTCACCGACCAATCCTTGGATCCTCACACGGAATCCAAAGATCAGCCTACGCGGCTAGGTACCCTACAGCTCTGGTAGACCACATCCTTAAGGCATATAAGGCCTCCATCTCCTACACCGAGGAGCTCTATGTCTCCCACACCGACGACCTCTTCAAGGAGAGCTACCAAGTGGACCGACTCATGGAGATCATGGCGAGCGAAGAAATGGAGTCGGAGGAGGGACCTCAAGCTGATCATCATGAACCACTGCCAGTTCGTGATCTAGGAGAAGATGAACTACCGGAAGAAGACCCTCACGCTGAACGACCTCTACCTCTTGAACGACCAGGTAGCATCGAAAGCCTCGTTCGGAGAGCGCACTGCGGACTAGGACACCCAGGAAACCAAAAACTAGCAAACATCCTGAAGACCGCCAAGGCCTCCACGGAAGCCATCAACATCGCCAAGAATCTTGTGTGCCCGACTTGCATCAGACACAAAAGAGTCGACGGGGCACGACAGGCCGCTCCTCCTAGACAGTTGAAACCAAACCAGGTGGTGGGAGTGGACACCGTATGGCTACCGGGAGTTGAACCGGGCGGCAAACTCAAGATGGCCCTCAACTGCGTTTGCTGGGCTACTCGATTTCAGTTGATGATCCCTGTAAAAGACCACACACCTCAAGGAGCAGTTCGGGCATTTCACCAGTGGCTCAGAGTTTTTGGACCACCAGAGGCCATCTATTGTGACCTTGGAAAAGAGTTCAAAGGACACTTCGAGCTCATGGCGGACCAGAACGACATCTACCTGGACCCAGGATCTTTAGAGATGCCAACTCAAAGAGCCATCACGGAACGAGCTGGTAGAAGCTTTAAAGAAGTCCTGTCAAAAACGCTAATGGAAGCAGGTTGCTCATCTTGGGACGAGTGGCACCTCATCGTGGACGAGGTCAACGCTACCATGAACCGCCTGTCCAACAAATCCGGCTTCAGCCCCATTCAACGGATGCTTGGTTACAGTCCCAGACTTCCAGGAGGCATCTTTCAAGGAGGTGAAGGTAGCATTGGAGTGATGTCCCGTTATCACGCAGGTGATGCACAAGTTCAACGATCCACAGACATTCGAACCCAAGCCGCTGTTGCATTCCATCAAGTCGAGTGCGAACAAGCCTTGAAACACTCGGTCTATGCAGGCCCCAAACGGTTCTACGACTATGAGGTGGGTCAAACGGTCTACTTCTGGAGAAAGGGAATGGAACGACAGAAGAAGGACTCTCCAGCCTTTTGGCATGGGCCTGGCAAGGTCATCCTCACGGACCTCCCGAACACAATATGGGTCAGCTATAGAGGAACTCTCGTGAAAGCAGCTCCCGAGCACCTTCGTCCCATAACCAATGACGAAAAGTTCCAGTTCATGGACTTCTTGACCGACATTGTCAACACCCAGAAGGAGATCCAGAACCACAAGATTAGAAACTATATCATCCTCGACGAGAAGCCCCCGGCCATCGAGAATGCACCCTTACCAGAACAAGAAGAAGATCGTGATCGACCTGACGGAGAGGAACCACCACCACCAAAGAAACCTCGATACCGAATTGAAGGAAAAACAGCAGAGACCGAGGTCGAGTTCAAACCGGAAGAAAGGGAACCAGCCGTGGAGGGAGACCTCGACCATCCGGAACCTATGTCTACGTCGCCCAGAATGGATGACTACACACCTACCGAACCAGGTGACCAAGATCCCCACGAAGAGCGTGAGAGAAGGATGATTGAAGATGAGGACAACCGCAAGCCCCCGGAGAGACCCACGTCACCACGGTCTACTCCAGTGATCCGGGAGAGAGTGGAGGACCCTGAACCACCAGTCAAACGACTCAGGACAGAAGCCCTGGAACTACTATATCAAGAACTCGTCCGGCTTCGACCACAAAAGGGCAAGGAGATTGTACTCAACAAGCTCCCCGCCAAGAAGAAAGAGAAATTTCTCAAGGCCATCCTCAAGGAGGTGACCAACAACCTGAGCTCAGGTGCCTACGAGGTCCTCGATCGGAGTGAATCTGAACATATCAGGAGAACCAAAGCGGAGAAGATCATGAAGTCCCGCTACGTCCTCACGGAGAAGGGAGTCGAGGTGGAGGAAGTCGAGAAGCTCCAACAAGACGGCCTACTCATTGAGGACAATGATCCATCTCTCGGACCCCAAAAGGCGAAGGCCAGACACGTCATGAAAGGCTTCTCGGAACAAGGTGCCGAGGACCTTGCCTCAACGACCCCTCAGGTCGCAAAAGAAACTGTTTTCTTCACCTTACAAGTGATATCCAGTATGAGATGGGAACTCGGACACCTGGACTTCACCCAAGCATTTCATGCTGGAGATCTGATAGCTCGGGAACTTTATGCCGAACTCCCCCCTGAAGGACTTCCAGGATATCATCCACGGCAACTCCTACGCTTGAAGAAAACGTGCTATGGACTCACCGATGGTCCTTACGCCTGGTACCAACACATCACCAGGGTTCTCCAGGAGTTGGGGTATGAGAAGAGCCGAGCCGACCCATGTCTTTTCTACCTCCGATGCCGCCAAACCAGGAACACGGTCGGCATCATCGCTCTCGCCACTGACGACATGGTCCATGGAGGTGGAGTACAACATTGGAAGAACATGAAGTGGCTTCAACAGAACTACAAGATGGGCAAGTTCACCACGGGAGAAGGGAAATTCACTGGCAAGGAACTAACTCCGGAAGCCAACGGGTCCATTCGAGTTACCCAAAAGAACTACATCGAGAACTACATCAAGAAGATCCCTCTCAGTCGTGAACGTGGAGCTCAAAAATACTCTCGATGCTCGGAAGAAGAAATCGGACAGCTTCGGCAGCTCATTGGAGGCCTGAGTTGGGTGGCCAAAGAATGTCGACCAGACATTGCTGGACGAGTCTCACTTCTTCAGCAAACTATGCCTCACCCCATGATCCGAGACATTGTAGAAGGAAATAGCATCGCAGAAGACCTCCGAAGAACCTCTGACTTGGGATTAAGAATCCAACCAATACCACTTTCCAAGCTCAGGATCGGAGTAGCTACCGATGCTTCTTGGGCCAATGCCGGTCCCAATGCCGACTGTGACAACACCAAGGACTACTGGACGGAAACACCCACAACCTGGGTCCGACACCATGTCGCACCACGTCGCTTAACCTTCCATCCCGGTTCAGTGATTGATCCAAGTGGTCCAGATCTGCACCAGATCACTAGAGACCGTAGAACACAAGCTGGAAGCCAGATCGAACATGACAGGTGGGATGGGACAGATGGTTTCAAAGACCTAGGTGCCCAATGGACAGGTACCACCACCTTCTTCAAGTCCAAGGACAAGAAGGTCACGAACCAACCCCTGTCTGAACGATTCCTCCAACTGGCTAAGAAACACAGTCAAGGAGGATACCTCCTTTTCTACTACCACCAGGATCTAGAAACCTCTGACCACAAGCAGGACATCACGATTGCTGGTTGGAAGAGCTATAAGCTCAAACGCTGCACAGTGAATACCCTGTCGGCAGAGTGCCAATCGATGCTTCAGGGCATCGGCAACCTCCACTGGCATCGCTTCTTGCTGGCCGAGCTGTTCGATGTCAATCTTCAGATTGATAAATGGGAGTCACAGCTGGCCAGCTTTCCTTTTGTTGCAGCCACAGACTCAAAGTCCCTCTACGACACGATGACCAAGTGTCGCAACACCTCAGCACACATAGATGACAAGCGCACTGGCATCGACCTCACCATCCTCAAGAGTGACTTGGCACATTCATCGGGTCAGGTGAGGTGGGTCGGGGGAGGAAACATGATTTCGGACCCTTTAACTAAAAAGATGACGCCGTCGTTTTTGAGAAGGGTCATGGAGATTGGCCAATGGTCGCTGAAAGAGCAGGGCCATACGGAGATTTCATCCAATAGAGAGTAGCTGCGATGTGAATAGCATGTCGCTTTGGATGAAATCACGATTCCGAAATGTTTAACTCTCGAGGTGGCCCAACGCGGCCTATGTGCAGGGGACAATGCACATGTGAAAAGGTCTTGCTGCCCACAGATCCAGGTGCTGCAGCAGCATGTTGCAATGCGTTTCGTGCCTATGTGGTTCAATTCACTGACCTCTTCTAACTGTGAGGACAACTGATACACCTATCCCAGATGAGAGTTGAAATATAGGAACCCATGGTAGTGTCTCTATATGCACTGCCAATGCAAGAAGAGTGTTTGCCTGAAATCATCTGAAATCAAATGCATTTCGAACTCACTGCTGCAGCTCCTTTCTGCTTCTTTTCGCCGGCACCTCCATGCTCATCTCCTAAAACTTCCATCGCTCACGTCCCTCTCTTTGCTTTAGCTCGAGCTCCGATAGATATGTACCATCCGTCCAGCTGCGACCGACAGACCGGCCGACCGCTCCCACCGGAAACAGGTGGGAGAGACCGCGCACATCTTGTCGATCGCCACCGAATATCGACAAGAGGCGAGGCGGCGGCCGAAAGGGGTTGGGAGGTGAAGAGTGGACGGGGGAGAGTGGAGGGGCGGGAGGGGCGGGAAGACTCAAAATGACAGAGGCTTGTTTTCAAGATGTTTTTGATGTGTTTCAGAATGGACACCTTTCAACTTCCAGCACTACCCAAAGGATGGCTATTGGACGTATTGGATGGACAATACATAGTTAGATGGGTCCATCAAACACCATTTCGGTGGTGGTGCTAGTTGTTGAGAGTCCCGTTTCCTTTCAGAAAGCAGGGAACCATTCCTAACCTTGCTGTGTTTGTGCTGATTAAGGTGTGGAGCGGAGCCTGTTGTGGGTTGAGATGGGTTGAGGGACTTACGTAACGACAAGCATTTCATTTTTCTAGATTCTAGACGAGTCTTTCGTGTTATTGGTTGGAGGGTTTAAGAGATATTAGAGCCTTCGAAGCTGCTTGTAGCAAAAAACTTGCCTACGAAACTATCTCCAAAGTTGTCAATCAGAACGCTCCCTTAGTTGCCCCGGCTCGGCTGCGCGGATGGTGTTGTGCGCCGATCGACGCTAGTAGGCAGTCATCCTCCAGAGAACGGCAAAGCTTCTGGGATACAGGCCAGCTTTCTGGGGGAAGGCAGGGTGGACGCATGTTTCAACACAAGTCTCGTTTTTTTCATTGTTTTGATCCATGTCTTGGACATGTTTAAATAGGTGTAAACCAATGGCATTTATTGAAAGAACTCCAAAACCATGTTGACTCACGGATTTAGTGTGATTGAAGAGTTTGGAGAACCCACTTCCCATTTAGAGAAACGCTACAAAAACCGGAAGAGACAGGAGGTTTCTTCATTGGAGCTCCCAAACCACGGATGCCGTGCCCAAATAGGTGCCTGGAAACTCGCTGGGTGTTAACGTGGTGCCTGAGTGACCACAGTGACCGCTATATTTTGGACCAACCACCCATACTATGGCCTACTTTTCCTATCAAAACAAAGGTCAAACGGGCTCTAGGTTAAGTGCGCGTAACCTTTGAGACACATCTCAGAATTCAAAAGACATGCCACATGTACCTGTTCGACCCAATTCGACAGATCCCGACCCTCGCCAAACCTTCGACCCCCCTACCCAAACCTTCATTTCTAAAACGCAACACCGACACTGAAAGGGGTCGATCGGAGACACTGGACAGTTCTTCACACGAGCACCCCAAGCGATTTGGGTTGATCATCCCCGTTTGTTCTCCTGGAAGATGGAAGTGAAGTTGTTTCAGTGAAGATCGCCCAATTCCAGTTTACTGCACTGTATAATCATATGTTCATTGACTGTTTGCCACCTGAAAACACCGCCATTTGACATGAATGGCATGAATGGTGATTGAATGGTGTCTAAAGTCATTCACTGAAGAAATCGTCCCCCCCCTGCTGGGTGAAACGATTTGAGACCGTTGCTTCCGCCAGGTTTCAGTTCTGCGGCTTCCGAGTGGCCGCCTTAGCCGTTCGGAACGACCGGTGACCGGCGTTCGGTGGTTTCCAAATGCGGGGGCGATTTGAGGGTGGTAGAATTGATGTGTCAAAATGGTGTCAACACTATAGGCCCCGGCCTCCATGCTGTATACACATGTTATAAATGAATATAAACATATGATTTTGAGTTGCAAGCCTGGCAAGCCTGATTCCAGGATTCAACAGGAAAAAGGCTTAGGCGAGCGAGGGCCGCGTGCTGCGCCAGGAAAGATGGGCCGGATGGTTCACCAAGCTGGTTCAATATCAGAAGGTTGAGATCTCAGCCTGCTGCTTGTGAAATTCACAGCCAGGAGAATGCTAGTCAATTTTGATGGCACTGGTCGGTGTCAGCACCAGAACCGTGATTTTTTGCGTGCCTTGATCTGTCAGCACAGGGTCTCAGCAAACCCCCAACGGGAGCCACTCTCCGTAGGAATCCACCATGCTTGTGGGCTCACCTTGAGGTTGGAATCACATGGAATCACGAGGTTTGGGAAATCCATGAGGTGGGTGATCAAACAACAAGACAAGACGTTACCCATTGCTCCCACAATTGGGCTTCCGTGTCGGAATGAAGGAGGTTGCACCAACTTCCTTCGATTAATTGGCGCATGAATTGAATATACCTGGATCTTCCAACGACCAAAAATTATGGTAGTTTAGCAGTTTTGGTTGTTGACCCGGTATTCTGCGCAAACACCCGCAAATCAGCGCAACCGACAAAACGACCGCAAATTAGCGCAAAACGCACGCAAAAAACAGCAAACGACCACAAACACCCGCAAAATAACGCAAAACAAACAAAACGACCAAAACGACCATAGAACCAAAACGACCAGATTTTTTTTGGTATAGTTGGAAGGTCCGGGTAATTGAATTGTGTTCTTGGCAAACAACACTGTTAAATCGGCGAAATCTTGCCAAAAAGCTGAGATGCATGGATGAATATACCCAGAGGAACAAGGTATGTCGCAGACATTCCCAGACCTGAGATACTGCTTGACCCGAAACAACACCCTATACCCTACTGTAGAAGTCGAAAGACTACATTTTGCCTCAGCAAAGGAAGTTCCCTTTCATATGCCGTAAAGAACCTGTAACTTTCAATAAAGAACCATCAATTGTCTACTATCGTGTTTGACTCTTCAGGGTCACGGATTCCAGCTGCTTAGGTCACGGATTCCACGAGAACGTCAACAAAAGAAGTAACTCTCCAGGTTGGACATGGATTCTTCTGTCGCTTTGTTGGCGCATTCGTCTCAGGAGCTCCAAGCTGGTCTGGCCTCCGGCCGCATCGCGCAGACGGATCCGGTGCTACTGATTGATGGCTGGGATTGTCCGGTGCTGAGAAGACATCCGCAGTAAATTCAGGTGATATGATGTATATCGGCAGTACATGCATGTTAAATCAGCAGTAAATTGATGCGATTTAATTTTGATCTTTCGTGTTTCATGTACTTTTCTCAGTGGGTGGTTGAAAGGATTTCAGAATTGGATTCTGCAGTTTATGGATGCAGAGTTTTTTTTGCAACCTTGACTCCCTGTTGTGGTTCTTCCATTCTTCGTATTTGCGTGAGCCTCATTTTCCGGGTCAAGATTTAGGAATACTGGGCTCCTGATGCCGTCCAATGTCAAACATTTGTAAACTAAGAGTCCAGACAGACGCGGTCGGGTATCATTTGCTACCGCAGAAGAAATGGACATCTTCAACCGATTGACAGGGTGCGTTCTGCCCTTAAAATGCATAAATTCTTTCACAGAGGTTTGGCATGCGCAGGACATGTTCTCAGAATCTTTTGGAAAAGATAACAATCAAACACTTCAAGAAATGGCTCACCTCTCCCATGTCTCCGCACTCAACTGCTAAACACCACCATATATTTGTCCCATCCTCTTCGTTCGAGGCGTGCTGGTGGGCCCCGCCAGCGAGTGCGGGAGCGTCGAAACGCAGCCGAAGCGACGACACGACGACGCGACGGTGCGGATGAACAAAGGTCACCGGTGTGACCGGTTCTCATATATGTGCTCGGCATGTGGCGACTGGTAAATTCAACAGATGTGTTTTTTTGGGGAAGAGGCTCAAGGTTTGGCGAAGTAGAATGGTCCAAGAGCCTAATGACCTGAGAGTTTCTTGAACTCAGCGTCTCAGTTTCCTTGAACTCAGCGTCTCAGTGTCTGACCCGAAGAGAAGAAAAACATGTGCAGGTTTATCGCCAAGATGTCAGCAGCACCCTTCTCGACCTCACAGCCCTGGTATGCAGGCGTGGGACTTAAGGCGTTGGTCGAAGGCTTAAGCCGTTGGTCGAAGGCTTAAGGAGTAAAAACGCCCAGACACGGCCCATGGGACTGGCATATGCTCCATACATTGACCCCAGGTCAACCACCCCAACTGATCGGTAGTCCTATTCACAGACAGGTCGTGTTTGGGATGGGTCTGTGGAGTGTTTGGACCGAGACAGACCCCCCTGGCCGTGGAGTTTTGGGGTAGACGGGTCGAGTCTTCCTTTCTTGCAGGGAGTCGAGCTTGGAAGGAATACACATCCAATTGTGTTCATGTGAAAGGTGGTGTGGTCCTTAAGAAAGGTTGCTCGGAACAAGGGCAAGACTGTGCAAGACTTGTGGGTGCCTGGATGTGCCTGGTGTCAGACCCGTTTTGATCTTACAAGGAGTGCTTGTGGGTGTGCAACTGTGCTGATGGATGAAGTCATGTATCACCCTGCACCGCCATGAATGGATGGTGGAAGGAAACAAGTTGGCTTTCTCAAGCAGGAATTTCTGGAAACAGACTGGATGTTGGATGATTTTGGTGGTGGGTTCAATCAATACTCCTACTCTTTGTGAATGTAGGCATATATCGGAGGAGGTCTATTGCCGGCAAACACACAATGTCTTTAGGACTTCTTGGGGAAAGTATGAGGAAGCACCAAAACCTACACCCAGCGTCTTCTGTGCATGCTTCTTCGATCATCCCGTGCACAAGAGCAACTCCCTGAGCTGCAAAGCAAAGAGCTGAACGGCATTTACGAAGCCAGCCATTGCAAGCAGAGATAGTACTGAAGAGAAGCACTGAAGGTGACCATGGCAATACAAACTTGTCTCAGTTACCCACCAAATCATAACTATATAGATTGGCCTCTGATCTCTCTCTCTCTCTCTCTATATCTGGTGGTCTTCAGGTCTTCAACGCCTACGTCTCGGTTCACCTCACAGAACCCACCGCTACCAACCCCGGAACCCACGCCGCAGCACCGCAGAACCCAACCCCGGATCGGTCGTGCTGCCTCGCGAGGCGAACGGATCTGCGGCCCGGACTTCTTCAAGGCGGCTGGACGGGGAACCGACGCCACACGCGGATCGGTGGGAGGGGTCAGGGTCAGGGTCAGGGCGGTGGGGGGGGGTTGTGGGGTTGTAGTATACTGGTTGATACTGGTGGTATAAAGAGGCGGTCATCTCAAGAGTGAGGGGTTGGTGTAAGTTGGTGAGCACTCAACTGGGCGTGAGAATCACTGACCGACCTTTGTTTGTTGGCCTAATCATAGTGACTCCAGTCAAAGCTCCCAACATCAAGGTGGTTTGGGAGGCTTGCCTTAAATTTGGGGGGCCTTGTAGCCAAGCTCCCCCATTGAGTCCAGAACAGACACCGTTACTTTCTTTACCCCTTTTGATCTGTAAATCTTTCACACTTATGACATAATATAAGTATATAATATACGTCATAATGAACCTTAATACTGTATACCCAACCACCCTGCAGGGCTCAAACATCTCTCTGTGGCCTTCCCTGGCAGTCCCAACTTCCTTCCCACCACGGGACGACTTCCTTCCGGGTCAAGGCCAATCGGATCGATGCCGTGTACCCCGACCCGGGCACACCCTGGCGCTATCCCAACGCAGGCGACGAACGGACGAAGACCGGTTCGGGTTCGGCCAACGGTTTCGGGGTGGACGAATGACAGGGGTGGTCGAGGACGATTTTTGTTCGATTTGCTGGTTTTGTTTGTGTAAGGTTTAAATACACTGCAAAACGAAAATAGTCAGTGTAGTGTAGTGATTAAGGGTTTCCTGTAGTTTAGATACCTGACAATTATCTTGGAGGTGAGTACGTGCTTCCAGAGCACGAACTGGTACCAATCCTGCGTTTTGTTTGCTTCTTGGACGGTTGGAACACACGGACGCCATCGTCCAAGTTGGGAAGTGCAAACAGATGGCAGCGGTTGATCTGCCTTCCGGTATTCAGATGGCATGTTTGGCATGTAACATGATTTCTGCATGGATTGAAGCTTTACTTGTTCTAAGAGATGGGCCAGACCATCCTGCTTGTGAGGCTGCATGACCGGAAGGGTCTGACTCTGAGTTTGGTGCAGTCCATGTCGATGTTGGGTTGGTTGAGCCTTGCAGCGTTCATCTCTGCCAGACCATTCGACACCATTTTCCCAGCCAAGTCTGGGGTGGGAACACCTGGTTTGTTGGTGCGTATCGTGGCATGTGTGATTTTGATTGTGTTGCAGAAAGCTGTAAGAGATCCAAAGATCAGCAGATAAAAAAGAACTGAGGCGGAACCCGTCCTGGAGCTCATCGATGAGCTATTGGCGGGCGCCGGTGATGGAGAGACCTTGCCAGAAGATGGGGACGATCAGGTGCAGCAGTCCAGTTCGAGACACTATATATATAATATATCTTACAGCCCTTAAACTGGAAATCATTCATCACAAACTATAGAAGGAAAACACCAACTTGGCAGGGCAGGCTGCACGAGCATCTGCTGGAGCTCGGTGAGAAGCTTAGACGTGGCCGGCCTGTGATGGCCTGTGGCTTTGTCAATGTATGTTTGTAGAGGTGTGTGTGATTGTGCGCGCACGGATAATATGTGAACTGTTAGCATGTGCTGGGCCTAGCTTGAACTTGTAAACTTGCAGCGTCACTCAGCAGGTCGCTTGATTATTGCGTCTCTCTGTGGACAGAACTTGCATGAATTTGTTTGAAGGGAGAACCTATGATCAACTGCTTGGAGGGCCAAATGTAGAAAACAATGTCTTTATCCAATGCACTTACCCCAGTCACAGCTTCTCAGAAATGAGTATTACTTCGGGATACTTGGGGATCATGTCAGTTTCATATTCTTTTTTCATGCCCAGCAACACCACACAGTCTTGAACACAAGTCAGACGATCTTGAAGATGTTTCTTATCTTTTGATTTCTTCTGAGCTTCATGTTGCACCACGTAAGACTGAAGACCTTCCCTTGATGAAGACCTTCCGAGGCGAACGAGGAGACCGGACGGCCTCTCAGGAAGAGCGAGAGAGAAGGGTGAGACAAGAACGTACGAAGAAAAGAAACCATCCAAACATGTCCGGCAGTTCCAATAGGGGTGCTTTCCATGGAGGTTAGGGGTGTCCATGATTCACATTCACTCACTTACTCTCACTTACTCTCGGTTCTGAAAACCACTCCTTTAAGCCTTTGTGACTCCTAGGTCCTTGTTAGTGTATTTGTGTGTTCTTTTTCAACTTGCTGCAATTGAAAAGCATGCACAAGTGTGTTTCTGTGTGTGGTCAAACCTCCCACACTAATACACATAGATATCATATCATATCTAATACCGAAGCTAGTATTCTTGGTCGACCCGCCTTCCAATATGTACTTCAAGAGATTTGTCTTCAGGTCGTGCCTCCTGTCCTCGTGACAGACCAACAGTTTCTACGCTTACACACTTCCCTTTGATGGAAGACAACCAAGCACATCGAAGCACCAGTTAATCGCAGCAAATATCAAACTGATCAGGAGAACTGAATTCCAATAGAACTCCCCATCACCTGGAACTTTCAATCCACTCACCAGCCACTGAGCTGTTGTTGGCAGCCCGAAATCGATCTCTTCCATGTCCATGTCCATCGCCTCCCCAGCCGCAGCACGGAGCCGTTTCGCCACTCCCCCAGAGCGAGCAAAAAAGGCTTCCGTACTTCGTGGACTCCACGTGCCGCATCTTCCAGTGTCTCTACGAAGCCGAAGCCCAGCGACTTGGACCAAAGAGCAGTTCGTCCGTTCGTTCGTCCCCGCGGTTGGGAGCGCCCAGCTGGGTATACCCCCCAACAAAAACACCAGGCTTGGCCCCTGTGTTTCGGAACACGTGTTTGGGGGAGGATGGTCGAACATCCAGTGAGGGCTTACTGGATATTAATGGTAATAGGAATTACTGGTTGCCTTTTTGCGAAATGGCAAATTGGTTGGGGTGGACATTGGCGCCCCAAAAGAGTCTCTATATAGAAGAGTTAGAAGAGTCCCTATATAAGAGTTACTATATAAGAGTCCATATATAGAGCTTGTCTTGGAGCTTGAATTGGAAGTCCTCTTGTTCTTTTTTCCGCACCACACGGCTATAGCTGAGGTGGACACTGGAAGATGCACGCCCGGGGGAGTTACTTCCTCGGCTGCGTAACCGGCAGACAGGTGAGGAGCCGTTGGGGAGACCCAGTGAGAGACGACCAAGGATAGGTCTCCTATATTGACTGGTATTGTTGTTGGCATTGTATGATGAAAGGTATTGTATTGTATGTAAACAAACTTTTCAATTTGTTGTATTTTTGTTGTATGTTTGTCTTTGTTATCTCAAGATGGACAGGTTCTTCTTTTTCTGCTCATCCACTGTCTTGTTTGTTAATGTTTGCTAGTTTTCTGTTGGGACTTTGACTGTTCTTGGACCCCAAACCCGGATGTAGCTGCAGCTCAAGTGCCTGCTCAACTTCATTTTGCATGTGGTTTCTATGTCGTGTCTTATTAATTATGATTAATTATGATGTTTCTCTAGGATCTCCGAAAAAGGAAACTCAATGGACGACGTCAGAATTCATGATCAATGATGGCTTGCCAGCATCTTCACGTATAGGCACTTGGAGTTTTTTGTTGCCATTGTGGTGTTGACCCACTCCGCGCTTGTGAATTGGAAAACGAGCCCCCGCACCGTTCAACACATGGGGAATTGATGGGCACCGCACTGGGAAATGCTGCTGTTGAGCCCTGACAAAGGTCATTATACGGTATATGCTGACCTGTGTCCCATGACCTGTACTGTAACAGTCGATAAAAGACATATGATCACTCTTTTTGAGATGGAAAGGCCTGCAATCAGGCCTCATCATCCAGCTGGTGTGGGATACACCTAGCGATATGCTTCAGAACCCTCCCCCTCCCCAAAAAAGAGAACATGAACAAAAAGAATGTGTCCAGTTTGCACTTGCCTAGGTTCTTGAACGCGCGATGTCTAATTCGGCATGTGATTGAAAAAAGAGAACACCCTGAACTCCTTGAGGTCTCCGAAACTCCAAGGCGATTGGACACCCCTTGTTTTCGGAGGAACCTCTCTAGCTTGCTCCCGTCATACGTACCGTACCTTCGTGAGTTTCGACAGGTGTGTGGGTGTTACGGGGATGGATTTAGAGGTTCCAGTGATAGCTTCGTTTCGTTCGGTACGGAGCTACGGAGCCCCAACGTGTTGGCTGCGAACAAAACCTTTGGACTCCGCGGACTGCCGATGAGGATCGTCTTGCACGGCAACGGCCACACGGGACGTTGGTTCATGCGGCTGGGACTGCATGGATGTGGGTTTGGCTGCGGCGAAGACAGGGTTGGAGCCATGGCGAGAGGGTCATCTACCTTGGCAAATCTTGGCAAGTGGGTCTTCCGCTGTCAAACTTAGCTGGATAACACAGCCTGCTCAACCTGTGTCAAATGAAGCAGACACGTGTCATAACTTGTCACAACTTGTCTAAGTTGTGACTGACTTTGGGTTGCGACATGTTGCCACTGGTCTTTCTGACCATGAAATAGCTTGGTTTTAGCATTTCCTCACCTCTGCGAGGTCCAACCTTTGGAGAGAGATGGATTTTCTTCGAAGAGCGACTTGGGCATGGTGAGTGAGTCAGTACTTTTATGTGGATTGGCCGACTTTGAATGTTATTAATATACGTGTTCAATGATCAAAATCATATCAACACACTACACGCATTATATTCTTTTGACTCAAGAATGTACCAGGCTCGAAGCAATTCTCTTTGTACTTCGTGCCAAAGTGCACAGTCGTCGATACTGATGTCTCGAGTTCTAGTGATGGCGCTGGCTTTGTCGCTGGCGGCTGCTGAGAGCCCCGCTTGCTTAAAGGCTGGCACCATTGGGAAGGACACCTTTCTACCAGCTCCGAACATGTTTGTGGCGAATTGGGCCACATGTGCCATGACTTGTGCGAATAGCCCAATTTGTCAAGAGTTCTCCTTCAAGAAGGATACCGCACCAACCTCCGGTGGCTGTTGGCTCTTCAACCAAGCCGATGTGACTCTGGCAGAAGATGCCCAGGCTGTGACTGGACCGAAGAGCTGTCAAGATCCCGATTTCGATCCCGCCATTGCGGATTCCATTGTGAACACCGCAGCAGTGGCTCCAACCAAAGTGGAAAGCGTGAACGTTTCCCCACCAGTCACCCCAGTCACTCCAGTCACCCCCGTCACCCCCGGTGTCGATGCAACTGGTGTGGCTGCCATCACAGACATCACAGCCAGTGCAGTACCTGCTGATGCAGCGGCCCACGCTGCCAATGCAGCGGCCGATGCGGCCGTCGATGCGCTGGTACCGCAAAGTGATGCGGTGGCCAGTGTTTCAGCTGCACTTCAGCATGGTGATGGTGCCCCAACCAAGGCAGAGACCTCCTTGGTGGCAGATGTGAGGTCCGGTGGTCCTGATCATGCTGCGCTCTACTGTGTCCTCGGTGGGGGGGCCGCTGCTGCATTGATTGCTGGCGCCGGATACATGATGATGCCCCATGACAAAAAGAAGAAGAAACGCAGTGTAAAATCCGAGTCCAAACATGAAGAGATTGAAGCTCCTCAAGCTCCAGATGCAGAAGCTGATGGAGAGGCCTCCTATATGCCGGTTCCTCAGCTGCAGCAACCGTCTCTCTTTGCGCCAGACTACCATCAGATGCAGATGGGGGGAACCTACCAGCCGATGACCGCCCCTGCGTACGAGCTGATGGGGCCCATGCCAGTGCTGCAGCCTTTGCGGCCGATGGCTTTCCAAGGAATGACGTTCCAGACGCCGATCGAAGCAGGAACCTATGCACCCATTGGGCAAAGACTCTAGATTTTACATATTCGATACTCGCGATGTGTAGATAGCGCCATAATAATCTGTAGATAATTTGCTTGCACGGCACTGGCAGCACTGGTTAGATAGTGTATGGAATCTGGAGAAAAGAAGCAGCTTTTTTGCATGGGAGATGTCATTTCTTGGGGTTCAAGCAGCTAAGCAGTTGAGGGGTTGGACTAGCCAGTCCTTCTGCCCTTCAGTGGAGCTAGCAACTGTAATATACTTTAACTATATATAAAGTGCAGATGAAACCTTTTTGTTTCAAGCATTTACATACATTGGCAATATACTATATCATTAGGCAACGAAACCTTGTAATCATATAAAGTGATCATATTGCATGACAAACATATTGCAGGACTGCAGGAGTGATCATCTCACTTGTTTCTTGCTTCGTCTGGCAGAACACTTCTGCACCGAACAGACCGTCGCTGCCGGATCTCCCAGGTGGGCCTCACCACGGAGGAACTGGCCCATCTTCCGTATGACGGGCCGGTGGCGCCGGGCACCGTGCCGGATGAGGCGTTTTTTTGTTTGTTTAGACTGGACTTGCATGGGACGTAGGAGGTGAAGGAGAGGATGGAAGGTGGTGGGGCTTTCTTGCACCCTAAAAGACTAACATGGACCCTGAAAACCACTGGTTGGTAGAGGAAAACCATCTTCCAGGGGGCCAAGACGTCAGGGTCCATGTTAGTTTTCGGGATTGTACTTTCTGATCTTTTTTGGGGGAAGTGTTGGCTTCTGTGTTTTTCGGTGTGGAGCGAACATGTTCAGAGCTTTGGGAGAATTGGTACTTGTGTGGATCGTTTCCACCAACTTAAGCGTTACTAAGATCCCTAGCCTTCGAAGACCATAGTATAGTATAATGGTTGACCTGGTTTTGTGGCGTAGAAGCTTCTAATAAGACCTGAAGGGTGTTTGGGATTCAAACATATTCCCTAGGGCTCCAGTCGTACGTACCTTCGTGAAACGAAGGTGGGACTGGGGTGGATTTAGAGGGTCCAGTCATAGCTTCGTTTCGTTCGGTACGACTGGAGCTCTGAGGATTTTCACCGTTAAAGCAGATGTGCCAGGAAGATCGTGTTCAGATCGTCGTTGTTCTTTGGGGACCAGTGGAACACGCTTTCTTCGACTGGACTGTCGACGGGTTTCCCAGTGACCGTATTCTGTGGCTCACAGAAACGTTTAAACGTGTTAGGTATTATTGTTATAGACGAAGCTGGATTAACAGCTGAGATGATGATATGTTTTGGGGGAATTCATCGAAAGCATACGGCTTCCTGCGGAAGGTATAGAAGAACACTGCTGTTAATTGTGAGTTGCCATAGTCTGAACATGTGTTAGTGTGCTAATTATAGGACTCTTGACCGAAAACAGCATGCATTTCCGGTCGCGTAAAGTTCAAAGGAGAAGTCTTCATTTCGAGCTGCTGGCCAAGAACCGAACCGACCCACCTACCCACCCATGCAGCATTTTGCACACTGGATTTTGAGATCGGAGCAATGGGGTGAGGCGGTTCGTTTGTTGCACACTGGAAGCCCCTCGCAGCCATGCCGATGAAAAAGTGCCTTTGCAGAAAGAGTGCGGTGTGGATGGCTTGGGCCCTTCTCATCTTATGGGTTGAGGACACAGGCCAGATGTGAATTCAAAGAGGAACAACTGCCAAGCTCCTCATGAATCAGAAGGCTTCTCCACTTTGAGAACTTGTGCCTTTGAGTGTAGACATAGGGCGTAGCCCACATAAGGGTGTAGGTGTAGCCCATTATTTACCAGTATAACAGTCCCTAAAAGATTATCTTACTCTCTTTTTGAGATGTCGGACTGCAACCTAACCTAACTATATCATCCACTGGGCCCTGAAAGGCATATACAGCACGAACGCCCGACCTCCACCGGGCGGGACGGGTCGCTTACCCGAAGCATCGTGCGTCGTGAGCAGGCAAAAGGGAGAGGAACAGACTAGCTACCGATTCAGATCACCCAGACCAACTGACGATCAGTTTCTTCGTCCAGGTCGATGTAGAGCGAATTGACCCAGCCGACCCAGCTGGTCAGTGACCCCTGGTTTTCCCATGTGACACGTCGAAGTCTGCTCGCTCCACCGTGGTCCGCTGCACCCGGATGGACCGGATCGACCGGATCGACGACGGTCGGATGTCCGACGAGGTTCCGCATGACCAACACCGAGCTGAAGCTCAAGCGGGAACGTCGCTCGGTGTGACGTCGTGCGGGAAAGAAGGTGGAGAACCAACCGAGCCTTGGGGTGGCGAGAGGCTGCGGTGGTGCTGTTCTTTTTTCCGAGCATCGGGCGAGGCTTGGATTAGGATCTCTTCAATTTGCTAGTTTCATGGTAATTACCATTTGGCACATGAAGTGCAACAGAGATATCTTTATAGAACCTGACACCTCTCTACTGCACCTATTCTATTTTGCACCACCAACCACCCTCAATTATGGTCCTTTCCTATCAACACAGTGGTCCAGACTCTGGAAGTGTATTTTTCCGCCGCTTCAGTCGGTCTGCAGAAGTCCCTTGTCCGCGAGGGATGATCGGTTTTTGTCGTGCTGGTGCACCGTGAAATGATGTGCACCGCATAAGGGGTGCATCTCTTCCAACATATTCACCAGGAGTCACATGTCGGGGTGCCAAACCTGGAGGAAGTCGGGGTGCCCAGAACATCCACTCACTGCTGGATAGGACAAAAAAACACCCCTTGATGGTCGCTTGGATCTGCAAATTGCTTCGGTTTGTTTTTCAGATTTTGACTTGGGCTTAAGGTTTGGGGAGGATTGTAAAATCAGAACCCTCAACTTGCTTCAGCTTTCTCCCTCCTGATTCGGCCGCGCCCCAGGCATGATGGAGGCCTTCATTGCGGGAAAGGAAGCCCTAGAGGCGCCTACTACCTGCTTGAGAGGGAGAAAGAGACCCCCAAAAACTACCTGTTCTAAATGATTTGTTCGTTTTGCTCTACCACTTGGATTGCTAGCCCAACCGAAAGTCCTCTTACAAACGTGACAAACCATCCTGTTATACAGATCCAAGAAAGAACTCCCAGTTGCGCTGCGCTGCCCGTATACGCCATGCACTATAGATCCATATGCTACTCCATAGCAGCGCTGCCCTGCAGTTCGCTCCACAGGAGCTTCGCTTGCCCTACTTCCTCGCCTATGGCTCTGCCATGGCGGCTCTCCGCGAGGGCCAGTTCCAGCCGTGCGCCGGATCGTCGTGGTGCGTCGGTGCGTCGGACGACCGGTGGGACCGGGTGCTGCGGTGACCGGATCCGGTGGGGGGGGGGCGCCTTTGGCTTGGGAGCAGTGACGGTTTGTCCGGAAGAAAGGGGGAGAAAGCGAAGTGTTGAAAGCAACCAAGACTGGAGGTGCTAAGTGCTATGCAGCTAATTGTGCAACATTAGCAGAAGGTTCATAGCAAAGCAGGTGAACCAGAAACCTACATATTAATAAGTTTATGGCAAACTATGTTGACGGCAACACGCACCCTGTAGAACATAGAGCTTGCTGAGCTTCAGCGGCTGTCTCTTCCTCTCATCAACCGCCCTGTCACAAAGGAAGATGAGAACATGTCCCTTCGGGGAACTGCACTTTTTGGTGAAGACAGTAAAGTTCCTCCTGGTGGATGATGGATATATGACATGATTAGCTTTCTGAGGTTTTGCACTGCATTCCTTTCTAATCAGCTTGACCAGTTCATCCATGGAACAGATTTCAGGTGTTTGATATCCATGTGCGTCTTCGTACACCTGAAACCCCGTCCCAGTCCTCCCGCCCCGTCCCAGGTACGAAGACGACATTCACGTCGGAATCTATTCCTGGGACCTGGCGGCTCTCCAACGTCAGTGCACTGAATGCCCCTCGTGGCATCGCCCGTCGGTTTCATCGAAGGGGCCGATCGAGGATGGTCCCAGATGCGGCGTTGCGACTCGCAACCGGTCCCAAACGTGAGTTCATGAGGGGGTGGGCAAACTCTTTTTGTTGGAAAGCAGTGACATGTTCCATTTCTTCATGTTTGGTACGTACCATGGTTTCTTTCGGACCACCCCCCCCGCAATCCGGTCTGAAGGAGAATGCGCTTGTGTTTGCGATCTGTGACACTCAGGCACTGCCAGGGAGCGAGATAGTTTATTGACCAACACCTTCGACAGGCGCGTTGTTTGCGCTTGTCGCGCTTGGGGGGAGTTGTCGCCTGGCTGTGAAGTGCATCCTTTGGCGTGTTCTAGCAGTATATGGTGTGTGTATGAAACGAAAAGGATTGGATCTTCCGAGAAGTCGTCAATGTCTCACATTTCTTCAAGTCGTTAAGTCCAGGTGTGCAACTTTGAATTTACTTTTCCAGGGAATGCATGACGAGGAGAGGATTGCAGAGAGGTGGGCATCAACAAATCAAAACGAATGCATTGGGTTTGTTCTTCCACCTGACCTGCAGCAAATCCTCACGATGGAGACAAGTATGTTCAAGACTCACGGGGTCAAAGGCTTGCATCATGGTAATTCTATTCATAAAGTGAAAGAGTTAAAGTTAAAGACTGGTTGCTTTAAGACACCAAGCAATTCTTGAGGGAGTTGGGCGGTTCACATCAGATGCATACTGACCAACACTGTCGCAAAGCATTTGATGAACAAAATCCCGCACCTCACAAGATGTGTATCCCAAACTGGTCAGTCTTGGAATGCCTTGGACACGAGCCAAAATCCTTTAACGACATGCAAGAAGCAACATTCAGAAAGAGATGGATCCTCACCACCACCAGTTCGGGTGGTTTATAGCCCCCCTACTAGGATCTACTAGGTATTGTTTCATGCATGTTCCATGCAAGGGTGGTGCTGGCTAGTCCAGTTGTTTTGGTTTTTCTCTGATCGACCTCATCGACCCGATGGTTTTGCGTGCAGGTTTGGCTTTGAGCCCGTCCAGGAGATCACTGAGAATCCTGCACAGGCAGAAGCTCAGCAATACGAGCATGTATACATGATACATGGGGACAGTCAGAATGGCTGTAGATCAAATGACATATCATGAAACAAGGAGACGAACTGACTGTGATTTGGCATCTAGACTGGTTGGACGAGGTGCAGTAAAGGGGGACTTCCTTAAAGCCTTGACCAGTTGGTTTGTCTACGACAAAAAAACATATGCAAACTGTGCTTCTGGGAAGCCAGAATAACATTGTTTCGATTATGTAGACGGCAGTGATGCCAGTCACAAACCCCAAACCCGAAAGGTTCGGAAAAGACCAGTCCAGTCATTCGATGCCTGCAGTGTGACGAGCTGATGTGACAGCTCCTTCACATGAGTTTGGTGAATCAAACCGTCTTGGTGGTGTTTGGACAAAACAAGTTCTGCAGACTAGGTTCCTGGACCTTCATGTAGGGTATTCCAGTGGAGTCCCCGGCAGGAAGGTGCTGGTTGATGAATTTCTAATAATTTCTACAATCCAATTCGGGGGCGTTTGGGGAGTATTCCACGCTTGCGCCGACGTCAGGCTGGAGCTGAGGGGAAGCCCAACCAGGCCACTTTGGGCGAGAGAACTTCGCAGGAAAAAGACGACTCCAACACAAAAAATATATCAATACAACCATGCAACAGGTGTTTGTCCTTGTGTTATCTTGTGTTTGTTGGCTGAAATGCACAAGAAGTTTTAGAGGGGTTGCTCTGGTTTTCACAGCTGCATTTGTTGCCGTACACTGAGAACAATAAGTAAGACACACTTCTCAAGCCACGTGGACATTTTCCATAGTCTAAGTTATATATAATATGTTATATAGGTTATATTTCTTTAATGTTTGATTGACCCTGCATACTGTCAAGTAATGAGATCTCAGAACAACAACGTCGCATGTCTCAGGCGACTCTGGTGTGCCCGCGCTACTACATTGCAGAGGCGGGTGGCAACAGCGGTGACGGCTGGTAATTAGTTGTGAAGCGGTGTGTACTTCAGCAACCCTGACTTGCAAGTGAATGATTCGCTATTTGAACTATTTGGTGGCTCATTAAACAGGGTCCGTTCCATTCTAAAAGCAATTGCAGTCGCACTTTGGGAAGGTTCCCCCACTGGTGAAGAATTCCAACATGAGCAGAATTAGCAGCTCAGCCAAGCACCGGAAACCGCTCCTTCTCGCAGCGAGCGGCTCGCGGCGTTTGCTCCAAAAAGCAGCCAGGGCTGGTCCGATGAAATGGCCTTCCCGATCTTGTACAAGTTCACACATCGAGACAGCTTCGTGCGCTTCGACATTTTGGCTGCTCGGAGTAGACTCAAACACTGCAAGCTCCCCAAGTGGCCGTTTCTGATGGGAAGGTCTCCCCTTTTGAATGCTTTCTGTGGGAGATATATGTGCTAGTTTCACGAATTCATACGGCAAGATCTTTGAATTTAGCTTGTTGGAACGTCAAGAACTTTCATGCTTCGCAACCTTCTCCTTGCCTCTCCCGACTCCTCACCACTGTGCACGCCCGACTCCACCTTGCCAAGCCCCCCGCAGGTCTCCGGGTTCTCCGTCGCTCGCGGCCGCGGCACCGGCAAGTCGATGGAGCCGAGGTCTTCACCATGCAGTTCGGGCAGCTCTGGGACTTCGCGGACGGCGGTGCCGAGACCTCCTCCGGCTGGCGCTATAGCAGCTCGGTGTTGGAGAGCTGTAGCCACCAATGGCAGACGAGACCCACCGAGAGCCACAAAGCTTTGGCACGGGTAGTGTGGAGGGTGTGGAGTGGTTGATTGGCTTGCTGGGTGGTGGTGGTTTCAGATATGTTTGGGAGGATTGACCCCAGCCGTCAGGTGTTTTGGGCTACTCGTGGTCATCATCTATATCAGTGGAGATGATGTATTTATTTTTCAGGACTCAAGGGTGGCTCAAAACCACAATCGAAGTCTTGAATTTGTAATGCTTCTTTTCGGGTGCTCCTTCGACCATTTGGAAGCGTCTCCAAAACACGGTTCACTGGAGAAGATGTGCTTGGGAACAGGCTGCGGGGTCCAACCCTTCCAACACCAATGGGTCAAGGACACACAATACCTTGAGATGCCCTGAGAGGAAGAAGCAGAGCCGAACCTATAGGTGCTTGGTGGTGTTTGGGTCGGACATGTGCCGCATGTGCCACTGATGACCTCAGGCCCTTTCTCACCTCAGAGTGTTGAGTTTGGCAAGCTGATGACTTTCACCATGCCAGCTCAACCTCTGGAAGATCACTATGGGCTCGGAAGCCCAGCGATGTTCCGGCGCCGCCGGGGAAGAGAGTAGTGCCCCCACCGCGGAAGAGAGTAGTGACAGTGGTGTAAGTGAGAGATTTCTGCGACCCATTACGAATGGTTAGTTGAATCAACTAATGATGGACAGACTTTTTGGGTGCAACGCCTCAGTAGTCAATCGGAATTTAAGCCATGCAACAGGCCTTCCCTACAAAAGAGAAACCAAGCAAAAGATACAACAATCTACAATACATTTGGGAAGCATGGACATCCCATATTCCAAGATATTCCAGTTGCATGTCCCTTGATTTTCCTCTTGCAGTGTTCCATCTACTGTGGGATAGGGTTCTTGTCCATCAACCCTGTGTATGTTGACTAAGGCCCGACTGGTATGTGCCAAAGGTGTACAACTATGTGCAGAGCTTGACGCGGTGCAAGAACCGATGTCAGGTCTTAAGGCTGGCTGGGGGAGAGACTTGACGCGGTGCTCCAGGAGTTTCAAGGAGCATTTCATCAGAAGTTCCAGAAGTTCTGTAGTAATATCAAGGGACCCAAGGGACCTACGGATTTGCGTGGAGATAGAGAGATACCCGGGACCGCACTCAACTGCGTTGCTAGGTTTTTTCATTGTCTCAGGTGGGTGCAAGATGTTCTTCTTTTGACAGTGGGATGTAGGATGATGTGGGATTGTTGTCCAACTTTTCAATAAATTTACAGATTGCAAACACAGACCAAGTAGCCAAGCTTGAGGACGGTGTGTGCACATGAACTAACACAACGTGACACAACCCTGGACCAGGAACAAAGAAAACACACGATGACGGTTCCCCCTTTTTTTCCTGCGCACCCCCAACATGCTCCATCCGTTCTTATAAACCAACCCATTTGGCCCAACATGCAATATACGTCATGACTCATGACGCTTGCGTCGGTCCCTCTTGTATCTCTGTCTCCTGTCGGTCTCCCGTCCGTGAAGGGTGCATCCCTTCGACGCGCGGATGCGGCGCACGGAGCTGCCGGCGGCGATGCCTTGGGAAGACTTCAAGTCCCTCGGACAGCGGCTGCGCGCGTGGCTGCGCGAGCGACAGAGCACGTGTCCGGCGGAGGGCCAGTAGGGTGCGGAAGGTCCATATGTGGCCTGAGAGATGGTCGGGTTTCGGTGTAGAAGGTCTTGAAGCGAGTTCTTGGCTGCCAGGCTTCAGAAAAAGAAAAAAAAACACACACACACGACAAACGTGCAGGTTGGTGAAAGTTTGGCGCTTTGGAATGGAGAGAGCCAGATAATAAGCGGCCATGGGGATTGACGAAACACATGTTGTCTCAAGCGGTTTGGAGACTTCGCCGAAGCGGACCTGCCTTGTTCAGAGTCATTGGGAGTCCAGAGCTGCGAAGACTGGCTGAATTCTGCTGGAGCCACTTCAATTTACGAAGTCTTCTCACTGGGTGGACCTGGGTCTTCATGCGTCGCATGTGAGATTATGTGTGACTATATGTTGTTTTTTTTCCAAAGAGAAGGAACATGGGCCATGGGCTGATAAAATTGCAACTCTAGGTTGGATACAGCATCTCGCGTGGTTGCCTTTTATGACTTTTGTGCGTTCAAATCACTTGTGTTTGAGGATCCATCTAGCCAGTGGCACCAGTGGGCCTCCCCCGGATGTTTGCATCAATTCTGAAGAGTGGGGAGACTGATTTCCAAGCGTCCAAAACAAAATGAATCAAGATGAATGAATTAAGGATTATAATCATCGGATCTAGGCATGTACTTGCATGGTTCTCATAGCCGAAAGAACTTTTCCAGAAGTGTGGCCACTGCCCAGTTGAACCCCTTTGGCCATACGAAGAGCTTGGCAAGCCTAGGCCTTTGATCCGCCAATATCGCATGCTCTATGCCAAATCCATGGCTGTCGCTCAGCACTGGAATGGCAGAAGCTGAGTCAGTCAATAACCCCTGGTCTGATATTATATCAATTACATCTTATTGTCATTAAGTGGATGACCATTGGCTAGATAACATGTGTTGTTCAATGGAAAAGGTGAACAAAAACGGTCATGTTACAGTCACTCTGACGGCCAGCGTTCTTTTGCGGGCCTTGACTCATGACTGTGTGCTTGTCTTCAGGGTTTTGTGATGGCGTGAGTTGTAAGGATTCGGAGCATGAGTTCCCAGAGAAGAAGCTGGACCTTTACAAGTTGGAATCAAAACCAGTGGTCCTATTTCAGGCAGCAAATATGTGCGGCTCGTCGGCAAAGTGGATCCTTGGATATTGTTGAGCATTTCTGGGTCGTCAACTAGGCCCCATGCAGTGGATCATCAAGTGAGGTAGATCAAGTCACGACGAGAGGAGGTTGACTCTGAGGTGAGGTGAGGTAACATGAGGTCACCACATCGCAGACAGCGGGGCATTCAGTATTTAGCGAACAACGCGTAAACGCTCGAACTAGGCAAAGACGAAGGGAACGTGCCACGGCTGCAGGGTGAGCTGTAGCTCTACTCGCAGAGGGGTCGAAGGGCGGGGGTCGGTGGAGACAAGAGGGGTCTAGACGAGACGAGAAGGAGATGTGGATCGGTTTCTGAGATGTTCGGAGCTTCGAGTTTAGGAAATGAGAGGGCGCTTCCTGAAAGAAGCGCAAAAAGGAGCTCTTGAAACCTCTAAGCCGTCAATAAAGTCGATTGGATTTTCAAGAAAGGCCTTCCATCAACGGTAGGAACATGGCGTTTGGAACGACTGCCTTGGCACCATTTTTTTCCGGAGGAGGAGTACTGCTTGGAATGACATGACATCAAGACTATGTCCAAAACCTTTGGGGCGCCATATACATGCCCTTGCAATGGGAAAATTGCCAACACTTCAAAACGGTGATCCCAAAGTGCCGAGCTTGACCTTTGAACCTCCCCCTTTTTCAACATTTTTGTGGCCTTGCACAGGTGCGCATGAAAGATGGGAAGCATAGTGCAGCTCTGGCGAAGTACGAAGAAGGCCTCTACATCATCGACAAGTGCAGAGAGGCGCAGCCACTGTCTCTCGCGTGCGGGCTGCGCGAAACGCAATGGACGGTGACGTCCAACCACGCAATGATGACGTCCTGTCCGATCAAACCAGGGGTCCGATGTCTACCCCGGACCGTGACCTCGTACAATGACGTTGAAGTTGGATTCACCAGTTCCAAAGCCATGCCGTACTTGGAGAATCGGGGCATTGTCATGATGCACTCACAAGGACATGTAAGAACATGTAAGAGCCTCTTTGGAGAATAGAGTTCTTCCTTTGAAGATCCAGTGTGTAAGAGTTCTTTCTTTGAGGTACTAGCTGATACAGTAATCCAGTTCTTCCTTTAAAGGATCTTTTTTGGAGGATTCACCTTCCAGACTTATCGCCCGAGCTGTTCCAGGTTGGGTATAGTCATTCAAAGCTGGCCCTCAAGGGATGGGTGCTAGCTGCTAGGTGCATGTCAGGGTCAGGAAGTTCCCAAAGATTCAGCTGACCTGACCTGCTTACACTTGTTGGCACTTCAAGAAATCCTCGCAAGCCATGCTAGGTAGCAAATTCTCCCTCAAACTTCGCTGACCCCCCCCAAAAAGCTCGCGCACCAAGCACCCTGAACCTCCGAGCATTTCTCCGGGTGGCTTGGCTTTTCTGCAGGTTCTCCTCACCTGGCGCTTGATCTTCCGGCAGATTCACGAGGAGAAGGCGGAGAAGGACCGCAAGGGCCGAGGCGCCGGACGACGGGATCACGCCCGACGCGGGGCAGACGCGGAGACGTGGTGCGCATGCGGCGCAGCGCTGCGTGCGCCACATGAGTGCTGCTCCGCTTGGGGTGGTGGGGTGGGTTTGCTTGTAGAGTGGCAAGATATTGGAAGATGTGTGGATCGAGATATATCAGTTGTGTTATATTTTTTTGGGGGGGGGGCGGAGATCTGTTGAAAAAGAGTGGAAGGGCCCCAGGACTCGTGGACGGTAAGAAGGGGCGACTTTCGCTTTTGGGGGCGAATGTATCACGGGATCGTTTGCCAGGGTTTTCTTCGGCATCCGTATGTATGGAACTCTCCACGAAAGTAGGAATGAGCTGTGAGAGCTGCGAGAAAGACAAGATCGTGTTGACTAGACCGTGACCACACTCCTGGGTGGAACTATATTCAGAGCGAGCCTTGTCAACTGCCAACAACTATCAGCATACACTTATTCTGAACTTTGTTAGTTTGCCTAGGATTTTAATTGGTTCATGATGCCGGATCTTGAAAAGGACGGAAGTGTAGATCTTTGAGGCAAGTATGCGCCACAACAACTGTAGGATATGTTAATCACAACATGTACAAACCTGGTGTACCTAGAAACAGCAGCCTTTGCATTAGAAACTCATGTTTATACTAAGTTTATACCCCTTAAGACTGAGATCCCACTGAGACGACACCGAGTTTCGCAAGGCCTCAAGGTTGCTGACCTGCTCGAGCCTGATATGCCTCGTGTCTCGGTGGCAACAGATTTCATATGCCACGGATGCGAAACATTGCGTTGCGTTGATTAAGAGTGGTGATGGTTTTATCCTGAAGCATTATTTGTAGCACCACTTTTGTTGTGACGAACAGGAAGGTTCAGGAGGAGTTGTTATTGCTGCCGTTTTGTTTGCGGTTTGTTCTTTGGCAACGCTTGGACAGTGCTGTACGTCATGAGCTGTCTTTGTGGACCTTTGATAGTCAGAAACTGGCGTGACACATGCTTGTCTTGCCGCTGATCACCCAAACAAAGGGCCTGTCAAATAGCCTGTAACAGTAACAGTCGGCAAAAAGAATACAGTATCACTCTTTCTAAGAAAGGCCTGCAACCTTAACCATCGTCTTCCACTGAAACCTGGGAATGGGATATACCCAAACCAGAGACCAATGGCTCCAGAGAAACCAGAAATGGCCACCAGACAACTGCCAGCAACGAGGGTGAAAACACGGAGTGTTCAGACAACCCCTGCCGCTCCCAAGACACGAGTTTGCACCTACTAGCATCACTCCACTGTCCAAGTTCCAAGTCCAGTCACAATGCTTCGTGAGGAGGCAAGAATCCAATCTTAATACGTATGTGACCGTTGGTGTTGGTTGTGGTTGTGGTTGTGGTTGTGGTTGTGGTTGTGGTTGTGGTT